TGTTTGCTTCTTCCCTTCCTTTATTTTCTCCTTCTCACATACGTATATATATATATATATATATATATATATATATTTCAAGAATTGCTTAAAATCTAGATGATGAAGGAATAGGTATTTTGTGCTTATTGCTTTGTGTTAGGATTTAATCAAATAAACTAACCAAGTATGTAAATCACATTTAATAAAACTTACCAAAGTGGGATGAATTGTTTCCAAGAAGTATTTCTATTGTGACCTGCTCTTTAAAGGAATACCAGTGATTTGCCCCACATTCTGTGTAGGATTTATTCGAAATAACCCTCTTTCAGTCCTGTCTGCCAGGGGTGTAGCTGTACCTGTGATGCGGCGCTCATCAAGGTGTATCCGCAGGTGTGTGTGTGCACACGGGTGGCATGGATGTGAAGTGATGCATAATGGCAGATTCATTTACATTGTTTACACGTCTATAACCAGGACTTAAAGAAAGACCAGTTCTAAAAAATAAAGCAAACAACAGCAAAACATCTAGTATTTTCCTACCTATCTCCAAAAACATATCCAAAAGGAGGGCTTTTGTCCTTAAAGCCATGTTGTTTTTGCTCAGTAATGTAGTCAGGCAAGTGTATTTTCAAGTGGCACGTTACTTGTGTAAGTGATTTTGTGATTTTCAAATAAAATATATTTGATGTTTTTAAAAAGTGATGTGTTCAAGTCAAAGTAAAATCTGTTTCTTTGTAAAATTTCTTTCAAATAACTTACCCAAGTCAATGGCCCTGTGAATCAGTGAATGGTCAGATTCAGTTTTAGGAAATCTCTTCCATCTTGCCTCTCATTCTGGTGGCAGATGGTGGGAAGAAAACAACCAAGCTCCTGAAACACTCCTGCCTAGCCAGCGTGCAAAACTTCCCCAGGGTGGGAAGAACACTAAGAGAATTAAAAACCGTAAGTGCACTCATTTTAGTATCCAGTTGATAGGAAGTAAGACTTCATTTGCTGAACCTTACTCTGTACCAGGCATTATACTAAATACTTCATATATCTATTTCTATAACATATTATAATGTAATGTAATGTAATGTGATGTAATATAATATAATATAGTGTATCTTCACAACAACACTCTGGACTTTGGCTAATTCTGTTTTGCAGGTGGAAAAAAGAGGTGAAGAGATTAGATAGTGGTGGAGTCAGGACTACCTGATGACCTGGGCACATCCAGTACTCTACTCCTGTACGTAGCATGACCCTGTGTACAGCACAGTGATAGTCATTGTTCAAAGGCTATGGAGTCACCAAACATAAACATCAGGAGACCTGTCAAAAGGAATAATTGATTCCTACTTTGGATCCCAGTCACTCCAGAATGGTGGTGGACCAGAACAGGTCCCTCCCACTCACCTTGTGAAGCTGAAGTCTGGCCTTCAGGCCACATCAGCGACATGACAAGGAGGAGAAACAGCCTACCTCCCCCGTTTGGAGACTCTCTTCTTGCAGGATGTAATTGACTGGCCTCTTCTATAAACTGGCAAAGGTGACCACGCTTCCACTTTGTCTGATATGGTGATGAGCACAACAGCCTAGAGTGGATCTGTGGCAGGAAGTCCTTTCTTCTTCCTCTAAGGAAAAATGAAGGGTTCTGTTTATGCACAACAAGGAAACAAAATAATCTAATATCAGAAACAAATAAATGAAGCGCTTATTTTTAAAAGTCAGCTTTCAAAAGAAGATTTGAACCTGGGGATAGTTTTGCCTAGCCAAAAGACCATCCCTAACAAGTAAAAGGTGAGGGATGATGAAGGATCCTGGATGGAGACTCTTACTTTGTTGGGAAGATTTGTCCCTGCTGAGCTATTTCTCGTGGGGAACTTGAATCTATTCTCTGTAGTGGTGAGTGCTTATACATAGTGCCAACATGTCCCCCACTGTTTGTGTAAATAGTTACTGTCACACTAACGTAAAAAGAGCGCTATGTTTCCAGGTCACTTGTCAGTCACACCAAGGGAGATGGTAAAATGTTGAGTGGCCGTGTAGTTAGGCTGAAATCATCACACAGGTGGGGAAGAGAGCCAGTCCTTCCCACAGTCATAGGACTGCTTTCCACAGTGTCCCCTTGGGACCCCCACGCAAACACACTCACTCATGCCCCAGTTGTTCACAAACTTCTTTTCATGCCTGCTTAGCTGTACACTCACAATCGTAAAACCACAAGAGCTCTGTGAATATACTAAATGTCCCTGAATTGTACACTATAAAATGGTTAATTTTATGTGATGTGAATTTCATCTCACAAATCTAAAAAACAATCTTCACAGATTGGTTATATGTATTCATTAAATGTGTTTCTCAAAAGAAAAAACAAAACTAGCCAAAATTTAAATAAATAAAAGGTAGACAAACATTTGAAAGAAAAATCTATGCAAAATGGATAAATGGGAGAAGAGGAGAGGATACTGAGATGTAAATAAGAATAAACAAATGAGAGAACTTACCAATAATCTACCTATGAAAAAAGTCAAAAGTTGGAGAATTAATAGTCAGAAAGGAAAAAGTAAACCAGAAAGGAAATCCAAGAAAAAAAGAGTACAATGAAGAAGCAAGGGAAATAAAAAAGAAACCAAATGAGGAAGAAGTGAAACAATGAAAATGAGAAAAAAGAAAATTGCAATAAACATTTATAGAGGCCATTTTCCTGACATTTACTCAATTTACATATTGCTAGTTATCTAATATTTTGCACACCAGGGCTTCCAATATTTTATTTATCTTGTTATTTGGTCCCAGAGTGTTATATTTAGTCCTTCCTTGAAGTAAGAGTTTCTAGAATTTGGTTCTATGATGATGGAAGCCCTGATCAAACAGATTTACCAGGGAAACTGATGGATCCTCAGAAAATCTGAATAGTGAGATCTTTCTCACCCCCCAGCCCACTCCCACACACACACACATATACACAAATCTTCAGGACAAATTTTTCTTCAGTTATATTACTGAAAATTTCCCACCAAAACGTAGAAGACTCAAAACACGGAGCTAAGGTGCCTATATTTGCCAGCACTAAATTACTTCTACGCAAGTGAAATTTCTGTTCTTCAGCCACTTTGTCATAATCTGCTTTGTAAAGAAGAGCAAATACTGCCCCAGAATCATCTCTGCATCGCCAAAGCACAGTGAAGATGACCATAAACCCACACTGTCTACTCTGAGCCTTTACAATAGTTTTGAGAGGAGATAGGTATGGAATGAAGAAAAAATGACCGAGTAAAAGGCTTAGAGATCAGGGAGGAAGTGGGGGAGATGGCACAGATTTGAGCTGGAGAATAAGTGAGGGCTCCCGGGTCAGTCTGCCTCCTGTGGGCACGGGTCTCTCTCCCCTCTGCTCAGCTCCTTCCTAGCCTTTTGTGCCATTGTCGGATTGTTGTCCTTCTTTGCCCCAGAGACTTAGAGAATGAGCATCAAGCTAGAACCAGCCTCAGTGAGCAGCCCACAGAAATTTTTATTTCCAGCTGAATACCTGCCTTCGTCATTACTACCAACAGATCTGTGTCTTTGGATCATTTTTATGCTGCTCAAACACTTTATTTTCGTTTACAAAGACCCTTTCCATTGGATTGCTATTTTATGCCAAAGCATATATTCTCCCGAAATCCTAGCACATCAGTTGTCACATCTGTAAAAAGTAGATAGTTTAATAAATTATCCCTCTCCCAGAGGAATATATACAAAGTTACCTAGCGATAATAAAAATAACAATGATTTATTAAATCAATACACAAATGGAAATAAACTTGAAAATGTAAGACTACTTTAAAAACATGCACCAACCAAGCAGCCTATTCGTCATGTGAATTTAGATGTTGGGACCTAGAGAAGCTACATTATATTTCTGACCAGCCCCAAAAATGGGAAGCATTTCAGACAAGGATGTCACTTTAAAGACTTGTTTCCTGGGCCAGCCCATGACCGAGTGGTTAAAGTTCCTCACGCTCTGCTTCAGAGGCCCAGCTTGTGGGCCCAGATCCCAGGCGTGGACGTACACCACTTGCTGGCTGTGCTGTGGAGGCATTCCACATACAAAGTAGAGGAAGACTGGCACCAATGTTGGCTCAGGGCTAGCCTTCCTCAAGCAAAAAAAAAAAAAGAGGAGGATTGGCAATGGATATTAGTGCAGGGCAAATCTTCCTCAAATACACACACACACACACACACACACACACACATACACACAAAGACTTGTTCCCAAACAGCAACTCTGTATGGAAAGAAAAGCTAGTCTCTGAGGGAGTCATCTTTCTACTGGCATCAGCAAAGAGGAGGCTTATCAGCACAGACCTGGCACCTCACCCCTATTTCCAGGAGTCCGTGAAGAGCGGAGATCAAGACTGCAAATCTGGGGCTGACTCATTAGCAGACTCAGGCCCATCATAGGTGGAGAACTCTTAAAATGCTTGGAAAGTTCTGGCTTCCGAATTTTGTTAACCAGATCATATTTCCTTGGGACCAATTTCTACTAAAGGACAACTCTATCAAGCCACCATACTCTTAATCTTGAAGAATATAGGAGGAGGCCATGAATTACAGGGACCTGGTTTAATAATTGCTAAATAACTGTTGAAGAGAGACTGAAAATGCACAACTCACCTCTACAGAGTGGAGGAGGCCATCCTGAGCCTTGGAAAGACGGCAGGGCTGGGAAAGCTGTGGAATTTGAAGCAAGTGCAATTGGAACAGGTAACTGTCTCTAACTTTAGTGATGGAATCCCAAGGGGCCAATTACGTTTGTTTATTAGATTTCTTTTATTTTTCCTCCCCCTCTGTCTGGTCACTTGTGCATCTAGCACCCTAACCTACATTTCAACGTTGCAAGTGAAAGTTGGATTCCTTGTCCCCGGAGCATGGGAAGGAGCTCCCCAAACTTTCATTTCTCAAGGGAGGTACATCTGAGTCTTCAGTGACACCACCTTTGGATGGTGGGAATTTTTATCCCACTTTACAAGTGTGAGGATTAAATCTCAACTTCCTCATTCCAAGTCATCCATCTCCACATTCCTTTGAGCGAAAGCGCCAGGGCCAGGCACCTCAGGGAACCAGCGGATGCTCTGCGGTACTCGTCTGATCTGAGCAAGGCCAGGGAGACCTTTTTGCCAGTCCCCAGACAGACGCTGCTTTGCTGGGCTGCTCTCCAGGTTTGGAATTCTACCACCACATTCCGTAACTTTCTTAGAACTTTCGCCTTTCCCTTCACTTTAAGGAAGACAACCTTCCACACCCTGGTCAGAATCTTTCATGAAAGAATAGCCATCCTGTGCGAAAAAACTCTAGTGAGGATGGTGAGCATCGTGCAGTGAGACTTGTAGAGGCCCAGCGGACTCCTCCTTCTCCTCCCCAAGAGTGGGAGATTGTCCATGTGAGAGTGACCAGGCTGCTCTCATCCTCTGCTCAGCCACCTGGCATTGTCCCAGGAAAGGGCTTGTGATTTTTTTTCTCCCTGGTTTATTCTGGGAACTGGTGGCAACAGCATCTTCTCCCAGCCAATGGTCTGAGACCCACTTTCTAACTACAATAAACAAGCTATCCACGTGTGCACTGGGGTTGGAAGGGGAAGTGGAATAGAGCCTGAGTGAGCTCTGGACTTTACCCTTTATGCCAGTGCCTAGACAAGAGAAGAGAAAAACAAGTTGCTTTCTAGCTTCCAAAATGTTATTGGCACCTCTCATAAAATACTTTTTTCTTATTTATTGCCCTCTTTACTTTGTGAATTTATTATCTTGATTCTTATCCTTTTACTATTATTTAGTATGATTTTAGCAGGGAATGGACATAAACTTATTTGTAAAATGCACTTCCTCACTTTTAGATATTACGAATTAATTTTCTATGGCATAAAATAGGAAAGATGACAATTCTTTTTCCTGTTAGTATAGCCATTTGTCCCAACATCCCTTATTTATTAGTACATATTTTCCTAAATTGATTTGGAATTATACATTTATGATACACTAAATTCCCATATATAGAAGTTTCTTTGGGATTCCAGTTTGATTCATTGGTGCATGTCTTTTTTACAACAATACCACAGTTTTAATGGTAGTTACTTTGTAATATGCTTTGAAACATACTGGGGCAGGCACTCTCTCATTTTATTACACTACTTTCACAAAAACTGAACTTAGTAAAGGTTAAATGCCCTAAAGTCACAGTAAACATCCTACTCACTGGAGTATCTGTAGATGTTTTCCTTTGGATGAGGAACAAGAACGGATACCTGCTATCATAGCAGCTGTTTGACATGACCCTAGAAGTCCTGGCCTATGATATAAGAAAAGAAAATAGATTAAGATGTACAAAGATTATAAGAAAAACTATCACTATTTACAGATGATATGATTATATATCAAGGAAAACTTTTTCAACAATCTATTACATTTAATAAGAAAGAAGCAGATACCAGATCATCTTACAGAAATCAATAGCATTTCTGTACACCAGCAATAACCAACTAGAAAAATAAAATAAAACACTATTTGTAATGGCAACACAAATTATAAAGTATTTAGGAGTTTCTTAACAGAGAGCATACATGAACTCTATGGAGCTCTCTGCCAAAACTTTTAGACCTCCCAATATTCTTTATCTACTTTTCCCATTTTATTTTTCTCCATAGCAATTAACACCATCTCACATACTATATATATGTATATATTCTACTTATTTCTTTTATTTATTGCCTATTTCCCTTACATGGAATGTAATCTTCATGAAGGCAGAGATTTCTGTTTGCTTTTCGCTGTTGTATCCACAACACATAGAAGAGTGTCTGGCCTGTCTTAGGTATTTAACAAATACTTGTTAAAACAAATATGAAGACAATGTGAAAACTCTAAATAGGACATTAAAGATTATCTGAATAACTACAAAAGCATTTCATGCTTTGGATGAGACAATTTAGTATTATAAAGATGTCAGTGTTTCAAAATGAATCTACAAATTCAATGCAAATCTAATGACAATTTCAGGTGAACTTTTTGGGGAACTTAATAAAATTACTGATAAATTTATATGGAATAAATTACTCTCTAAATACCTGACTATTTACAGACTAACTATAAATAAAGTAAATAAATATAAATAGACTAGCTGACTATTTATACTAAAATCTATTTAATAACTTTGAAAGGAAAGATGGGTTTGCCCATCTTGTTGCATACACTGCATGTGACAGATGGAGACTTAGTACAAACCAGAATGACTTGTAAAACTAGGATCACAGAATTGCATGGTGCAGGAGCAAACAATGGACAGATGGAAAAGAAGAGAGTTCAAAGACAGAGCTATACACAGGTAAACTTAATGTGCATGACATTTACTACAAATGAATGAGTAAAGAATAGACTGTTTAATAAACAGACCACAATGTGGAAAAAAAAGTGACACTAGATCCATATTTAACAACATATGCAAAAGTGAATGTCGGATAAAGAAATAACTGTGAAAGGTAAAAGTAGACAACTTAATTAAATATAAAAATAGAATATTTCATGACCCAGATGCAGGAAATTTTTTTTAGAAAAACAAAACTTCATAAGCATAAAACATAGGACAAAAATGAGAATTAGACTATATAAAAATAAAGATTTTCTGTTCAACAAAGGGTTCCATGAATAAAGTTAACAAAGAGATGACAGCTTGGAGCTATGTATTTGCAGTGCCTATAACAGAAAAGGATTAATATCTATAATATACACAGCAACAAGGAAATGGCAGAACACTCAAAGGAAAAATGGGTGAAGAAACAAATACAGTGTCCAGCAGTAGAAACCCAAAAGGCTGACGATATGATTCCCTCAGAAGATATTTATTGTGTGCCTACTATGAGACAGGCACTACTCCAGACACTTTGTCTACATAAGTGAACCCAACAGAGAGCCCTGCCCTCAAGGGGCTTATATTCTGGGGGCAATGGAAGAGTAAGAAACAGACATGAAAAAATGAGTTAATAGCAAAGTAAGTTAAAAAAGATAAGTTCTTTGGAAAAAACAACTAACAAAGTAAGAGAGAACAGGAGTACGTGGGCAAGGAGAAGGTTTGCAGTATCAAATGGGGCAGTGACAAGCGCTGAATGAAGAACTGGAGGAGATGAGGAAGTGGTGATCTGAGAAGAGAGCATTTCAGGCAGAGTATAGTTAGAAAACAGGTGGTAGCCATTGTCAAGACTTCGGGTTTTATTCTGAGCAATGGCAGGTTGAGCAGAGGAATGACATGATTTGAGTTATGTTTTAAAGGAATGGCTCTGAGTGCTGGGATGCAAGAGTAGAAGCAGAGGAATCTGTTGCGGGCTTTGCAGTAACCCGAGGAGGGTGACTGACACCAGGGTGGAAGAGACGACATGACGAGAAGGGATCATATTGTGTATATATTTTGAAAATAGAGAAAATAGGATATTCTTGCAGATTTGGATCAGATGTGAGAAAAAAGAGAATGGTAAGTGGCCTAATTGCTGCAATGATGGAGTTACCATGAACTGAGGTGGGGAAGGCATGGATAGACCAGTGTGGGGTGAAAGTAGGTGAGAATCAGGAGTTCAGCATATAAAGACATGTTCATATTGACTACTCACTAGAAGAATACAAAATAAAACAATTTTATATCCTTTAGGCTAGAAAAGATTCCAAACATGCAAGTAGTGGAGGGATAAGAACCCTCGTGCACTGAAGTAGGAATACAGACTTGTAAAGCCATTCTGGAGAGCATCACCTGTGAACTAGCAACTTGGCTCCTGTACATGTTCCCTAAATAAATTCTCACACAGGTCCTTACGTGCTCATGGATTGTGATACTCATCATAGGGCTGTATGTGGTGCTGGGCAGTGGGTGCCATACAAACAGTGATAGCTAAAAAATGTGGTGAACACCATGGATTACTCTGAACAGTTTCAAGTAATGGACCAGCAATATGTCTATGTAAAAATATAGTCTTGAGTGAGAAAAACTAAGACAGACTGAGTAGTTAACAATATAATGCATTTTTAAAAAATACATAAGTGCACTCTCAAAGACAATTATATGTGTCTAACACATTAGAATATTTGTCCATACAGCATGGAAGAAATAAGAGTAAAGAATGAGATAAGGAGTCTAGCTCCGTGGCCGAGTGATTAAGTTTGTGTGCCCTGGTTCGGTGGCCCAGAGTTCACTGGTTTGGATCCTGGGCGTGGACCTAGCACCACTCATCAGTCCATGCTGTGGTGGAATCCCACATAGAAGAACTAGAACGACCTACAACTAGGATTTACAACTAGATACTGGGGACTTTCAGGAGAAAAGAAAAAAAAGAGCAAGATTGGCAAAAGATGTTAGCTCAGGGCCAAGCTCCTCAAACACACACACAAAAATCTAAAAATGAAAGAGATAAAAAAATTAATTTCTTTTTAAAAATTAAGGAGAGAACTTGTGCAGACAATAATGTTCCATGTATTGAAGAGTATTATTTACCAATTAACTCAACTCTGTATCTGAGATTTTTTTAAAGCTTCATTTACTAATATCCTAAATTCCAACATGTATGATCTTTATATACTTCATAAAAGGCAACTCCTAAAATAGTAAAGAAAGTTTCAATCAATAATGATTTAATGAGCAGGAATTTTTTAGCACAGTTAAGGCACTGGGCATACAAATATGATAAAATGCATAGTCTTTGCTCTCAAGAACCTTACAGTCTAACTGGTCAGTGCAACAATGTGCCTTCTCCAAGGCACAAACTTGGATTTTCTTCTTTTAAAAAGTGGGAGATCAAAACGCCTTTGCTTTTGAATTTTACTCAGAAATGTTAGCACAATTATTCATGATGCTAATAATAGGATTCAGAATTTCCAGAAAAGGCAGTGTTTATTGCAAAATTTATTATTATTTATTAGTAAATTATTAATACATTGGATAAGTCTCAGATTTCACACACAAAAACTTACAGGTCTATAATAATTTTCTCCATGAATGTGTATGACTTGCAGAAAAATAAATTTCCCTTTTATAGGGATTTATCTATTTTCTTCCTACCTCTGATAGATGACCAGTGTGCTATGAGTACAATCAAAGAGAGGACGAGGGGATGGAAATGCAGAAGAAGCGGCAGGCAGCAGCTGGACCACATCAAGCCCTGCAAGTGTGGAGGTTGGATTTTATTCTAAGCAAAATAAAAATGCAACCTGATTTATTTTCTAAGATAAAGGTGCTGTCTGCAGGGCAAATGGCCCAGGTCACTCAAATACATCATAGGGAAAAGAAAGAGTTGGAGGGGACCTATAGGTTAAAGAGATCTTAAAGACATATCAAGGTGAAAAAAAAGGCAAACTAAACTACAGTGAGTGGAAGTGTTTGCTTGGGTAATAAAGCCGTAAAGAAATGCAAGAAAGTGATTACTACAAAGGTCAGAACAGTGGTTACTTTACAGAAAAAGGAGTTGTGATTAGGTTGAGGCACATGGAGGGGCCTCTGTGGGTGCTGGCAGTTCTGTTTTTTGACTTGAGCGGTTGTTACAAAGGAGTTTGTCTTTTAATAATTTACTAAATAAATACACATTTGTGTAGTGTGGTTTTCTGCCTCTGTGCTTTGGTTTACAACATAAAATCCGAAAACATAGTGATTTTAAAAAGTAAAGCTGTTGTATAAAGAATAAAATGTAGAAAGCAGGGGCTGGCTCCATGGCTGAGTGGTTAAGTTCGCGCACTCCACTGTGGCGGCCCAGGGTTCGGATCCTGGGCGTGGACATGGCACCGCTCGTCAGGCCACGTTGAGGCGGCGTCCCACATCCCACAACTAGAAGGACCTGCAACTAAGATATACAACTATGTACGGGGTGGGGGTGTGTGGGGGGGGTTGTGGGCGGGGACGGAAATAAAGCAGAAAAATAAATAAATAAATAAATAAAATGTAGAAAGCAGAAGTGGAAACAGATCAGATTGATCACATATTTTGTTGATAAAGCTAATGGGATCTTTTGATGGATTGGGTATGAAAGAAAGGAATCAAGAATCATTCTGCATGTATATGATCCCTTCTGCTACTACAGTGAAGACATATTGGGGCAAGAAGAAAGGACTAGCTTGGGATAGAGGAAGCAAACACAATAGCTCTATTTTGATTTGTTAAGTAAGAGATTCATATGATGTAAGTGAAGGTGATAAGCAAGCAATTGGATATATGTGTTCAGAGCTCATGAGAAAGGTCTTGCTGGCTTGGTGCTAAAAGAAATACGATCTTTAGCTTAGATAAATTGTAGAGAGATTAGATAGATGGATGGGTGGATAGATAGATAGATGCCATGGTTCTGAGTAAAATCACCTGGAGCAGACACAGACCAGTGATCCACTATAGCAAAAGCAATAGAAAACAAGTTCATTTTGAATTCTTGTGTATAGAAAGAAGGCTGTGTAACGCTTAGCCCTGTAATTGTGTCCTAAAAACTATTTTTAAAAATAGTTGAATACCTACTCTATGCCAGCCACTTTACTAGGTATGTTACATAGATTGTCTGCAATTTTCAAGGTAATTACACATACAAGATATTGATACTACTTTTCCCAGCTGAGGACACTGGTGCTCAGAGACATTAAGAACATTTTTCGAAGCCACATTGCTGGTGAGGGATGAGGTCAAGAGAGAAGAGTGGCTGTTCTCACTCACGCTGAAGCACTTCACTGTCCACATTGCATTTCCTGAGGGAATATGCAGGAGGAATATGAAAGGGAACAAGGGAATGTGTTTGATTGAAGACTTTTTTTTTTAACTGTATGTATAATAGGGCAGTGATGACTAGTCAACATGTGGACTAATGTGGAAAGTCAGTCTATAAGAACTTGGTCAGAATGGTCTACCTTATCAGCAAATCTAAGGAGAAAGGGCACATCAATCATTTTCTCTTTGTTTGGAATGCCGCTCTTTGGGCTGTTGGAAGAAAGGAGAAATTCTTTGAATCTTTACCTTTTTTCACTAATTTTTTCCCACACTCTTCTTAAGGCACTCATCACCTCCTTGTTCCTCAAGCTGTAGATTAAGGGATTCAGCATTGGGGTCACCACAGCGTAGAACAGGGAGACCATCTTCTCCTGTTCTGCTGAGGAGCCAGCCTCAGGTCTCATATATGTGAAGATGGTTGTTCCAAAGCACATGGAAACCACAGCGAGGTGGGAAGCACAGGTCTCAAATGCTTTGCGGCGTCCCTGGGCAGAGCGAATACACAGAATGGCAGCAACTATATGACCGTAGGAGAAGAGGACCAGAGAACAGGGAAGCATGATCACCAGAAATCCTGAGATGGCCACCATGACCTTGTTGAACGAGATGTCCACACAGGCTAGCTGCAGCACTGCTAGGGTCTCACAGGCAAAGTGATTGAGAACATTGTTACACAGGGGAAGCCGGAAGGTGATGATTGTTTCCATTAGAGAATTCATGAAACCAGCCACCAAGCAGCCGGCAGCCAGCCCGAGGCACAGTCCTCCATGCATGATGGCTGCATAGTGAAGCGGGTGGCACACTGCCACATAGCGGTCATAGGCCATGGCTCCCAGCAGGAAGAACTCCGTGCTTCCCATTGCCAGCGAGATGGACAGCTGGAGCAAACAGTTGTGGAACGGGATGGACTTCGAGGTTGACAGGAAGTGAACAAGCATTTGTGGGACAATGCTGTTGGAATAACAGATGTCCACAAATGACAGGACACTAAGGAAAAAGTACATGGGTGTATTTAGCCTGCTGTCCATTCTGATAAGGAGGATGATGAGGAAGTTCCCCAGCATGGTCACCAGATACATGGCCAGGAAAAGAACGAAGAGGGAAACCTGAGTCTCCCAGAAGCTGGACAAGCCCAGCAGAATGAACTCACTCATCAATGTCTGGTTTTCCCTGCCCATGAGCCTCTGAAGACCAAACCCTAGTTACAAATCAATAAGTACCAGATACCAATGGTGGCAGAGTGTCTTACAAGGTCATTTAGACCAAACAGCCATCTAAAAGTGGTGTGTTTTCCCAGATTCTATGTCTCCTTCAGGGTTTGGGCCACAATAGAACCCACTGATGGGGCTCAGATTCAAGGAAAAAAGAAAACGCTTCTTTTCTCCTTCCTTAAGTAGGAAAAGTTTTATTAAAATTCTTAGATATTTGAGTGAAAATGATTAACTGTAACAGGCGATTCTCTTCTGTAGAGCCAATTCCTAACCATGGGGTTTATCTAGCCCTTTGTTGGATCCCAGTTTTTCCCTCCTTACTAGCTCAAAATCCCTGTTGAATGAAACCTAATGGGCATGAACAGTTTTTTAAAATTTACGTTTCTACTTCTGGATTCTCAGACCATGATAATAAGATAGTCAAGTTTTACCCTTTTAAAATCAGAAATTGGGGGTTACAAGTTAGAAGGTAGCAAATCTAACACAGATTTTTAAGTAGCAAAAAATTAGCAAGATTACATTTTAGAGTCAGTGAGAAAAAGAACAAAGACCTGCATGATCAGGCTCAGTTTTGAGAAGTCTTCACCTGCTTGTCTCTTGTCGGAGAGAGAGGATAAGAGGAAGGCACCTGCAGTGTTATTTTCTTCCTTCTTTGGAAGAGCAGCAGAGCATGGGTCAACAACAGGATATGGCTATCAAGAAATAAATCAAAGTCAAAGATGCAGTAACTCCTTTCCCTAGTAAGTGATGAGGCAAATACTTGCCGCAAATATTAGTGTGTTAACTAAGAGATAAGGGAAAACCGGCTGCACATTCCCCCTGAGTCTACTTGTCTGTATCCTGCATGGTGTAAGCTATGGAGACTATGGTGTGATGGAAAATAACTACTTGAAATGAACTCAGTGAAATGACTGTTGATTATCTCTTTCCATTAACCCCCCTTTATTTATCCCCATCTGAAATATTTGACTATTTCCCACCTTAGGAAACTAAGTCTTCTCTCATCCTTGTCCTAGGCTCCCTCTACCATGACTCACATGACCAGAAGTAACACCACGGTCTGCTCAGTACCATCTCCAGACTTTCTCATCCTGCTGAAACATTAGTATTTCAGAAAGCTCAAGGGCTCTAGTATTCAGAAATTCTCTTTGGAACTCTTAGTAATCTTGTTTGTTCCTTATTCATATCACAAGTGATTTCCGAAACCTCATGGACTGAACAAAGCCCACTCTCAATTTCCTACATATTCTGGCCCTCTTAATTAGAGGCCCTTTGGGTAAAGAAAGCTAACCTCATGCACAGGTGTCTCAATGAGCTATCCTCTGCTTGCTGTCTGTGATCAGATAGTGTCACTGAATATGCGATGAGAATCATGATGTGTGTGGAGGGGATTCATCAGAGTGAGGGCAGCTAGCTGCAGATAAAGAGGATGCCAGAGACCTGGATTAGGCAGGAGATAAAGCTCTATGGGCATTGGCATATGCTAATCCTTCCTTAGTCTATGTATCAACTGAGCCTGACAAACCATTTCCACTCCAAGAGATTATTTATGTAAGTTACAACCAGAGGAGGCAAGAAAAGTACAAATGTTCCTTAATTCTTTAGAGTTTACTCTAGAGCTTCAAAAGGTGAGCAAGTCACTTTGTAATATTTCTATCAAAGAAAGAGGAAACCTGCCTTTTTATCCCTAATGAAAAAGGAGAAGTTGGAATATGAAAGTGTCACTGTCAAAGTCCTCTGGTACGAAAGAGAGAGATGAGTGACCTCAAAGGGGAAAAATCAGGACGTGGGACCATCAATGGAACTTGACCACAAACAAATAATATTTTATGAGCCAGTCCTAAGAAGGTTAATGGAGTGGTCTATGATTCTGCTATAATTTATGAAACAATCCACGTACAGGAACTTCGCCAGCAGAGGGCTAAAAGAAAAAATAAAAAAACATGCAGGAGGTAGCTAATTATTATTCAATGTATTCTCAGGTACCAAATAAGGAAACTTGCTAAAAATCTGATAATGATCTCTTGGAGTTTTGAGTCTTTCATGTCTTAAAAATTAATACTAACTAGTTAAGGGCTTGACAAAAAAATGTAGTGATCCCTCATTTTGGGTCGATAATTCCCCTTTAAAGCCCAGGAAGATATTGATTACAAATAGCAACACCCATGGTGAGCATATCACATTTCAATATTATCTTCAGGTTTTTTCAAAAGCCTCTCTCTGGGAGCAAATGAACTACTTTGCCAATAACCTTGCATTTCCCAGTTCAATCCTCATTACCTAGTTTCTCCATCTGTCTAAAGGGAGCGTACATTCAATTCTGTCCTAATTCATTAGAGAGAGGGAAGAAGGGAGGATATAGAGTAAGGACATAATGCCAAGAGTAAAAGGAATGATTTTAACACAAAAAAAGGTTAAAAAGTAAAGTAAATAAAATGTTTAAAACATTTTTGAAATTTTGATATATAAATAAAAGTTTAAAATATGTTTTCAAAGGTAAGATGGAGGTGTTCTAACTGACAACAGTAATTTAACAGCATTGCCTGCACCACCTCTCCTTTCTGTATTTGTGATTCCAGTTTCCTAAAGTTATATGTCACAAGTGTTCTTCTCAAAAAGGAAGTCACTTGGAAAGCCTGAGATGTCCCAAAGATGTTAATGGCTAAGTTGCTCTCCCCACCCCATCCCCACTTCCTTACGCATCGCCCACACTTCTTGGAGCAACAGAAAGTTTAGTCAGTTATCCAGATGAAGTTACTGTCTGACCTTCATCATTTAAGAATGAGCCAGTCAACACAAATCTGTCCTTTGGTCCAGATTCCAGCAGTGGGTAGGTGCTGAGAGGTGCTGTGTGGTACAGGGAACACGACTAGTACCCTGGGTGTAGTCGCTACACCCGGTGATTCCCATGAATGCAGTCAAAGCCCTGTGGTAGGTGCTTCACTTCTCAGAGGTATCTGAAAGAACTTTCTTCTCAGTCTGTTTACCTAAAATGTGTTTTCTTAAAACCAGTTGCCAAAATGGAACTCTTATCTCTCCAGTGACCAAATTCAATCCAATTGTCACATGAGCTTAGGAAGAAGCTATGGGTTAAGGAAACCCTGGTTTCCTGACTCATAGTCTTAAGAACCTTCTGGAAAGCCTCTGAGTATGACTGCCCTACTCCAGGACAGGAGGCCAGCATTACCCCAGAAGAGCAGGGCCGGGCAAGATGTGGGATTTGGAAAAAATAACTTTCTTTTCCCTCAGAGATAAAATCTCTGCAGGCCAATTATGCTGTGCTTCTTTGTCTTCCATTACTTCTCCTTCTCTGCATGGTGATTCCCTCACCTTGAACTCTCATGCCAATTTAAGAGAATTTGCAAATGAGAATTTAGTTTTTCCTGACCCAGAAACACAAGAGAATCCAAAGCCCTGGAGACATTCTCCGAAATCTTTGTCGAAGTTTCTCTGTGAGGAAGTTATAACTAGCCATGACTTTCTGTCCGTGTACTCGGGATTGAGGCTGTTTGACCCAAAGTGCCCACTTATTCACAGATCACCTGTGGGACCTTTGAGCGATATCTCCTGTGACATGACTCTGAAGTTATACATGAGCTATGATCAAATTTTCTCTTCGCAGCTGATGCAAATATTTTGTGTGACTTTTCCCCATTTTGTCTCAGTACTGGAAGGCTCCTTTTAACTGGGCATTGTCAAAATATTTAACTATGTATGTATCTAGATGTCTGCCCTCATAGTCTGCAAATACTACAAAAATTTACTACCTACTTAAAGCATCTCAAATTATACATCCCTTCTATTAATAGACATCTAGGTTGTTTCTAGTTTGTGGCTATTAAAAACAGTATTATGAGCATTCTCACACACACACCCATATTTTGTCATATTTATGTTCACGTGCTTAGATTATGTGCGTGTCCAGCTTTAGCTAATATCATCAGTTGTGTCAAAACAGCTGTACCGATCCTATTCCCACCAACTATATGTGAGCATTTCTTTGCTCTAACCTTTCTCTATTGTCAGTCTTTCTCATTTTAGCAATTCTGTTGGGTATATAGTGGTATCTCCTTGTGATTATATTTTACATTTCTTTGATGACTAATGAAGTTATACATATTTTAAAATATTTATGGGCCATTTGGATATTTGATTTTCTGAGGTGAGTGTTCAATTTCTTGCCCATTTTTCTATCCAGTTACCCCTCTTTTTCTTGTTGATTTTAGTTCTTTACATATTTTGAATATGAGTCATTTATCGTTTATATGTGCCACAAAAATTTTCTCCCAAATTTTGGCTTACTTTTTCACTCTCTTAAAGAGATGTCCTTAATTTTTATGTAGTTCTATTCAATTTTAATTTTAATGTGTTTCTGTTTATCAACTGTTTTTTCATATAGTTACTGCTTTTGTAAGTCTTGAGTGAGAAATCTTTGCCTATCCCAAATCATGAAGTTGTTCTTCAGTGTTATCGTCTGGGAGCTTTCATGTTTGAAACCAAACCAAGAAAAGTTTGGTTTAATATCAGAAAACAATTAATGTTATTAACCACTTTAATAATTAAAAGGAGAAAAAATCATATGGTCATATTTATAGACACAGAACATTACTTTAAATTTTACTTACACTCCTGATTAAAAAATAGCAATTTTCTAATCTGATAAAATGCATACAGAGTAAACATCATATTTACTGCAATTATCTTGAATGTATTCCCCATAAGTTCAGAAACAAAATAATAATGTTGTTGTATTCATCTTTATTTAACATTATACTAGTGATTGTAGCAAGTGGAAGAAAACAGGGAAAAAAATATAATAATATGATGATTGGAAAGAAAGTAACAGTACAGTTATTTTACTTGCAGGTTACACAATTTTCTATATAAAGAATCCAAAATAATCTATGGATAAATTGGTACAATTAATAAAATAATTAGGCATGGTATTTGGGTTAAATAAATCAGTA